TAGATTGCCAATTATTTTGCCATTTATGTTTCTGATAGATGTTTGGGTTCATACGAGTACATCCAAGATGTGTATAGGTGATCTCAACATATAATTTCAACTTTGTGAGAAGAAAGACATGTAACATCATTTCTAATTATTGTTTCCCATGTGTTTGCAAAATTATAAAAATATAAACCCCATCTGTGTAAACATACAAAAAGGCTGAGTATACCGGTATATGCGCATCGATCTCTTTAATTAAATGTCCACAAAGGTGGTACCGACACACATGATACTATCAAGGTAATTGCATTTTTACATATTCCATGGGACCCTTGCCTATATATACACACACACAAAACCTTCCTGATCTACAAATACAGTAGCACTAGAAGTCATTATGGCGACCTTGTGTTATTATCTGTGGGAGAAAAATCCTTGAGTACTGCAGGGGTCGATGAGATCAAATGCTCAGAAACATATGGTTTTTTGGATTGTATACATGATGGACGGAAGCAAAATTATGGAGCTGACGTTCTTTTAACACTTATGTCAATTGTGGGCCGTGGAGGTAGCATTGTAATCGTGTGGAATTCATTGATTTGGGGTTTGCACAAAATGAATGTTTATTTATAGAGAGACATCACTTCTCCCATTTTTGACAACTTGCTGAAAAGGATGGTGTGATAATAATGACACCTGTTGGTATGAGTTTCAAAGTGAAAGAATGGGATCGATTCATCGACCAGCTACCAGACATATCACTAAACATATCAGTTTAGCAAAGTTGGAAGCGAATGCATGATTTGGAAACAAGTCTTATCATTCTACAGGGAGTACCGGTACAGTGTAAGGTGGAGAAGAAAGATTCTGACAGAAGTTTTTGTTTCATGAATGAACAGTCTCATAAGCTTCAGTTTTGATCAGGTAAGATCTCTCTCTCTCCTTCTCTCTCTCTCTCTCTCTCTCTCTCTCTATCTCTCTCTCTCTCGAATCAATATCTTCCTTCATAGTTAGAATAATACTGTTGTCCAGCCTCATATGACATGTACCATATGAAGCTTTAAAAATAACTTTTATTAGGCTTGCAGGTAACTTTTATATTTGTTGTTAAAACCAATGATAGGACAAGGATCCAATTCAAACTTATGATTTTGTTTCAGTATACTATTGGTTGACTTGTACCACATGACCAATTCTCAGTCTCCAAGCGTGACGCCTTAACAAACTTCAATTTGTTTTTTGAAACCAAGGACGTTAACGATCCTCATCAGTTACCTCAAACTTTGAACTGGACATTCTAAACTTTTTCATTCTCTTACAGTTACAAAATGGCATCATCTATGTCTTCTGGTCTGACTTTCTACTGCAAAAGATGTCCTTACACCTACACCAAGAGGTGGTACATAATCAGCCACTATAGAGTCTACCACCCGGAGTACAAACATGAAGCAGATCTGACCTTCCCTGGTCTCTTCACAAAGGGTACACAGCCCAGTCCAGAACGCCACAGTACCGCTGGGGAGGAGACTCAAGACCGGGCTCTGAAAGGAGCTCTTCGGGAAGGAAGGAACTCCAACGAAAACCCCCACGAGGAGAGGATGCTGCCAACCCCTGAATCGGTCAAATGGTTACAAGAGTTACTCAGGGAGGTGATGGAAAAAAGGAGGGGCCGATCCCAAACTGGTGGACTCTGGCGAGGTTTGTCCTCAGCATGTTTTTATTGTGGCCAGAAAGGACATTGGAAACGAGAATGCCCAGAGAGGTCTGGAAGCGGAATTAGACCTTCCTAGCTGGCCGGGGGGAGGTCAGGGCTATACAGCCTCATGGTGTTGACTAGGGAAGATCTTTGAGGTTTGGCACTTAGACAAATTGAGTTACAGTTAATTAAATTCACATATCTGTATACATTTTATTTGTTTTGATGTAAACATTTATTCATTTTTGCTAGCAATATTTTATATCTTTTTTTTTCTTCCATTTTGTTGTTGTTTTGTTTTGTTACTGCTTTGATGTTTTGTTGTAAACATTTATTCATTTGTATATATTTGTTCTCATTTGCTATGTCTTCTTTATATATATATATATATATATATATATATATATATATATATAAATATGTTTTTGAATGCTTTGTTCATATGATTGTATGTTTGATGTAAACTTGCATTTTTAGTCTTTGGAGTTTTTGACAAGTCTTGAATAAAACCTCATTTCAACTTGAACTTGAGTACGATGTAAAGAAGAAGGGCGGATTGTTCACAGACTATGTTAACTTATTTCTGAAGTTAAAGCAGGAATCTAGTGGATGGCCTTTGGACTGTACAACTATTGACAATACAACCGTTGATTCTTCCAGGATTCAGAAAAAGTCATGTGAAATATCTAGTCTACTACGAAAATGAAGGCATTCGTTTAGATCATGATTCCATTAAAATCAATAAAGGTCTAAAGAGCAGTGGTAAAGATTTGTCTGAATGCTTTCTATGGAAAATTCGGTCAAAGAAGTAACCTACCATAGACAGAATATATCAAGGAACCACATGTCTTCTACGATAGGATGTGAGAAGGTCATCCCTTCGTCTATTTTCAACAATTTGATGTAAAGGATGGTGTGATAATAATTACACCAAGTTCCATATTCCTCACTATGAAAACTTTTGAAAAGCTCATTCATTTGTTATCCAACTTTACTCAAGTTCACAACAAACATAAAGAGAATGCCTCCAACTTTCAAGATGGTGATACAGCAAGGTTCAAGTTGTCTGATGGAAGTGTACCTTGAGAGAATGTTCAACCCAAACCATCTTGAGTGTTCCTGACCAGTACTTCATTTGAGGGGGAACGTTATGTACATATAAGGAACTTTTAACAATATGATTCTCTCTTCTATCCTACACCTGTTGGTATGAGTTCCGAAGTGAAAGAATGGGATCAATTCATCGACCATAAGGTGCAGACATATGTTTCGCCTGCACATGGTTCATTCAAAGTACATTTTTGTTTAAGGTTTCCAAAGCAGATGGAACAAAGAGGTGGGGCAACCACATCCATCTCTGGATCAAGAAGTGAACTCTCAAGTGATCTCCTTATTCTTTTATCTGAAGTGAGCAGCTTGAGATCAAAGGCTCTTTGACCATGATCAACAATAGATGTATGCTATCCATGACTTTTAAAGAACTTGTGCCTTGCCACATGGTGCACTGAAGAAGTGAAAAGCCCCTATTGTTGGGTTATAGAATAAAGAAGATCTTTGAGGTTAGGCATTTTGACAAATCGGGCGAGTACGATGTAAAGAAGGCAAAAGGTGGATTATTCACAGACAATGTTAACTTATTTCTTAGGTTAAAGCAGGAATCTAGTGGGTGGCCTTCGGACTGTACACGTATTGACAATGTGATTGTCAAGTTCACAACAAACATAAAGAGAATGCCTCCAACTTTCAAGATGGTGATACAGCTAGGTTCAAGTTGTTTGATGGAAGTGTACCTTGAGAGAATGTTCAACCTAAACCATCTCAGGTGTTCAACTGTAGAAATGCAAGTGTAATCAACTATTCATCTCTACTAGACAGTGTATAAACTTATATATTATATATTTTAAATTGAAGTCCCAGGCATTTGTGTGTGAGTGTATCTGGGAGGGTGTGTGCCTTTATGTGTCTGTGTGTGATAACGTATGTAGTCTTTTATTTTAAATCTGGGATTTACTTATAAGTGATGTAAGGCATTATATATGTGAAATGAAAAGTAACCTGTCCTTCGGCAGTAATTGTAGAAAAGATATATAATATATTTATTTTAACCTATTCATTGAAATCATGGAAATAATAGTGATGATTATTTGTTGATTCAGATCTTGAAGTATTAAATTATGTAATTGGTTATTTGAATTTTATGATGTTTTAATTTACATTGTTTTCACTCTTGTGCTTCCACAGAGGCTGTTTTGTGTCTTCAATTAAAATCTAACCTTCCACCAACTCAAGTGTCTCAGAGTGAATATTTTGGCATTTCTTTCATGTATATTAGATGAACCTTGTGTTACCTGCCTGATTTTCTTGACGTTTTCATTTGAATGAATTGACGTTTATATTTGAAGTGAATTTTAATCTGAATCCAATGAACTGAATTTTAGTATTTCACTTTTTACTGTAACGCTACAATTTCTTCATTTACAAAAATATGACAAGATTACCTTGTTAACTCCTTGACTTAACCCTTTGCTTACGGGAACCTGGTGGTCCCCATGCTAAGCCTATGGGACCTATACAATTCAGTAGTCAACAGGTTAAATACAATTCAAATTATTCATCGTTCCTCCACATGTCTCAAATCAAATAAAACATGAAGAGAGGTATGTATTTGATGGAGATGGAGAGGGAGAGGGGTAATAATTCAATGAATGAAGAGTGGTATGTATTCGCTGAAGAGGGAGAGAGGTATATATTTGATGGAGAGGGAGAGGGGTAATAATTCAATGAATGAAGAGAGGTATGTATTTGCTGAAGAGGGAGAGAGGTATATATTTGATGGAGAGGGAGAGGGGTAATAATTCAATGAATGAAGAGAGGTATGTATTTGCTGAAGAGGGAGAGAGGTATATATTTGATGGAGAGTGAGAGGGGTAATAATTTGATGATGTCCCACCATTGACATACACCTTAAAAAGAATTTCTGCTCCATAAATAACTTCCATTCATTTTGTACACAATCCCCCAAAAATGAATTCCCCGTGACTACTATGGTACTCCACGTCCCACCATGGACATACGTGTTAAAAGAGCATCATCTCCATAATTTCGCTTCCATTCATCTTGTACACAATAAAAATAAAAAAATGTTCCTGAACATTTGTTTCATTGGCTCCTGAATTTTTTCCCCATAGACTTGACACGCAGTCGCCATAATGACTTCTAGTACTACTAAATACCCACTGTCAACGGTTTTGGGCCCGTTGCACAAAACTTACCATTGATGGTAACTTAGCCATCAATGTTAACTACCATGGAAACCTAGCTTGATTTTGATTGGCTGTTGAGCCCTGTTACCATGGTAGTTGCCATTGTTGGCAAAGTTACCATCAATGGTAAGTATAATGCAACAGTCCCCTGGACAGTCCTATTTCTTTTTCTTTCATTCAGAATCTGCTGCTCCCTTCCTCATCGCTTAGCAGACATGATGGAAAGAGGTCCCTGGCCAATTTAAGTACCTACTGTAAACTGTTTTACACAACCCCTGGAGATGTTTTGCTTTTCTTTCCGATATGTTGCTCCCTCCCTACCTCGATCATCGCTTGGCAGACAAGGACAGGGGTCCCTTGCCCAGGGCTGGAATTGGGGTCTTTGAGAGGAGTTTGTGATCCCCCATCTTCAGTGCAGCTAGTTTTTGATTCCTGATCAGGGTCGTGTTGATCTTGCGTTGCGTGACCTCGCTCTTTAGACCTCTGACCTCCTCCTCTGCTTGATTGCGTAGCTGTGAAAGGAAGAGGGAATATCATGAAATAGTTTTGTTGAAGGTATAGACCAGTTTTGGAAACGCCCCCTCTCTCAAAAAAAAATGGAAGCTCTTATTACCAATCATGTAAAAGGATATGTTTTGATTAATATGTTATGATACACATTTTGCAGGAAACCGCCTATTAGTTGATATATTTGGTAAATTATCTATCAGGCCTGGATAGATATCGCGTAGTCCCTTATACATCTTTATGTGTACAGTGCTTGTAACTTTATCAAGACTGGGCCAAATTTCTTATCATTTTGATGATTCCAGGAACTTGCAGTACACACCAATACTTATATGCTAGATGATCAACCTTTTCTGATTGATTCCACAACGTTTCTTTCACGATGCAATCGCATGACCAGAACTGGTCTATACCTTTAACTGAATTTCATTTACTTTGAATAATCCTCTACAATAATTATAAATTAACAAAAAAATCCCCATATTCTCCCTAGTTCTGCCTAATAGCAACAACAGCAGCAACACCAACGCCAATGATTGTGACAACGTAAATTCAACATCCACATAGGGCTAAAGGGAGGATGGGAGTCATGAATCAATGCAGTGAAGTAGCCTTCTAGCTTTCTATCACATCTTATTCATACATATCCCTGTTCTGACATAGACTGTCAAAGGGTAATACTTGAAATATCTCTTTCAGAGCTACAACATCTCTAGTGTGGGCTATCGACACTTGTCAAACCTTTTTTGTGTTGCGGACAGCGATCTTGCCCATGGTTTCAAGGGATGAACTATTACATGTTTGCACTAAGAATTTTCTTTCTCTCTTCCTTCCTGAGCAAAAATAGGTGCACAGTATAGTGTATTCACTTGGAAGTGATTCCATGCCTAACCTAACAATGAAACACAACATTAAAACCCAGCATTTGACTCTTGAAGGTCAAGCAGTGATGAGTTATCTTAAACTTGGTGTCACATACAGAATTACTGTAAAACAGATATAATGAGGAGAGAGAATGGCTATTTTCTCAGCAAATTTTTTCCTTCTCACAAATCTCAAAAATTGAGTGTTGCATCAATTGTGAAACACCTTCTCATGGTATTAGTTGTTTTCCAAATCTGTACCACTCATGAAAGATAACATGGAAAAGAAAGTTTTTTGGTTTACAGTAAGTACCAGATGATGAGTATATATACTGACCTTGATTTCTGAGGTGAGTTTCATCCTAGATTTGTCCACCTTTCTCTTGATTTCCTCCAGCTCATGCTGCATCTTCAAGATGTTGATCTTATGGTCATTCTGAAAGAAAAAACAACGATGATGGGTACATAAAAACACTTGTTGATTAATTTCTTCAGGATGGTGTATGACCCCCTAGTCAAAATGGGCTCTGGAAAAAAAAAAAAAAATTGCTATTTTTTACTATTTATTTTTATATGAATGTACCCTATTTAAACACTATTTTTTAAAATTAAAAATAGATTTAAAATAGCATATGACTGCCTATTTTTTTCTATTTTCTAGGAATTGGTGGTTTGATAACTATTTTTTACCTATTTCTTGCTATTTTTCTCTATTCTTTTCGACTTAGATTTTTTGTCACCAGATTTCGTCCTATTTTTTTTTTACTATGTTTCTGAACAGATTTCACCAGGCTTGGATACCACTAACACCATCACTGTCACAGGTCCTATGGATGTGCCATAGGACTAATTCAAAACACTAAAATCTTGATCTTCCACATGAGCCAATCAGATATGAGAGAATGATATTGATTCAAAGGTACTGCAAAACTTTTGTAAAAACATGCTGTACAATCAGTTCACAGGTTTAATATGAAGATTGAGATTTTTGGGGCGGCAACTCTGCCATATGGAAGTCCTTTCACATCACTCTTCTAATATCACCATATCTATAAATGTAGAGTAATTCACACTGCAGTACAGTAAGAGAGAATTATTCAAAATTATGTTACCCACACAATATAATGTACAAAATATCTATTCTATTACCAGACTAAGGCCTTGTTCAGATATGAAGCGACAAAACCACAGCAAGTTTTTATGAGGTAATGTCACACTTCTATATCTTATAACACAGCTCAATGACCACGCGAAAGTCCTTCGTTGCATGCAGTTACTATTTATTTACACGTTTAAAAAAATGCTGCATTTTTTTTTTGCGGCGGTTTATCGCATCATATCTGAAAAAGCCTTAACCACTTGACTGCGGACCGTATGTTCTCGCTCTTGCATGCCTGTGCTTTCCTTGTACATGTACGTGCTTAGGGCATTGCACTTTCAAGACTGTAGTACTGCATAATGCCTAGCCCTGCTGTGACGTTATACAGGTCTTGAACAGTAGCTGGCGCTCTTTTAAAAAAAAATCTGGCCTTTTTGTGTACAGTGTACAGTTTTTGACCAGTACAAAAATGCTGTAGCACAGGGGTATGAACACGTCTTAAGCCAATAGCAGTTAAGTGGTTAAAGGGTCCATTCCCTTGAAAAGATATTTTATGAGCTAGATCGCACCTTCTTGGAGGGTGGGCCCTTGACGGAGACACCTTTCTTCTTGCCCTCTATGTGACTGAGTAGCTTACGATGCATCTGGTCTAGCTGGTTCCTCACACGACTGACTTGCTCTTCCATCGGTGCCGTCTTCTTCTTCTCGTCATAGTAGCGCTTCTTCCAGTAATCGCGAGCTACAAGAACAGTCAAGAAAAAATTTAGTTACTGGTAATTTTTTTTAGAGGGATCATTTAATTATCCTAAATATGAGCTCTTTTTTCCTAACCAATGCTTTTCTTTCCACTTATTAAAAGGGCAAGTTCACTACAAAATTAACTGAATTTCAATAGAAGCAGACAAATTTTGCTCAAACTTTTTTTCGATAGGTTTGTCTGCTTTTCTGCTTCTATTGAAAGTAAGTTATTTTTGGAGGGGACTTGTACTTTAAGATATAAGAGCTGGAAAGAGAGTATACTTATGATTAGTCGTATTTGCTAGGCATCTTTCCAAAGATTTGACCTACCGGTAGTCAAAATCTATCTCATATAAGTTCTCTTTTGGAGTATTCATAACATATCAGTAAAATGACATTGAGAAAGTCTAGAAACGTGTTTGACGCATCATATTGAAGGACCATTAAAGGCTGATTGGAATCTGGTATCTACATGTATATCTAACAATGTCTATCTCTCTTGCGACTTATATTGATTTTTCTTCTTAATTTTTATATGTACATGTACATGTACATGCATGGTCATACAATAAATTAATAAAGGCTGGGTTTAACAGTTTATTACTACTAAACTTGGCACTTCAAACAAAAGCCTCAAAATCTTCCCTGATGTTATGTCATAAACCAGATCATATACTATATAGCTCCTTGATACTAAAACCCACATACATGTACATACAGGAGAAAATGTAGGAAAAGATATCTTGGATCCTTATACAAGTAATCATTCAAAATAACAGTTTTCTTATACTCTTCGTAGAGGCAATGAAATAAAATATGCAATGTGTTTTCATAAACAAGGCACATCAAAACCAGGTAAATGAGGCTACATGTGTATATCTCAGAAAATTATTGTTAGTTCAGATATACTTGAATGTACATATATACATTGGCATGCCTTTGAAACAGAGAAATAGGATAAAAAACAGCAACAACAAAATATTTAGTGTCAGAAAATTATCAGAGAAAAACACACATCAGAGTTGGTATCCCAATTATAATGCAATTAAGCTTACAACATCAATCAAAGTTTCAGCTACAAGTAGATCTCGAGTGTATTCTACAAAATCTACATTTAAAGCATTTTCAACTTTACACAAGTTATTACATACATGTACTTGGTCAAAGTAGCAAATATTACCATTGTATTGATAAATTTCATATACAAGTACATGAGTATATATATTGATGATTTGATGCCCATTTTATAGTTATTTCAATTATTGTCATTATGACTCATGTGTGTGATTTCCATACATACATCCTGTTTCCAGTGTTTTAAAATAAACGTTATTAATTTGAAGAAAAATATCGGAGATGCAAAACTTCATTTCATCATAGGCCTACTGTATGTACACTTTCTATTAAAAATATGAAATAATTGTACACCACTATACATAACTACAGATATGTAAGCAATGCACTCCAAATAGCTACTCTCATTACTTGCCTATATAGAAGCGATCTAGCATTAATAAGATTGTTATTATCAATTAGCTTGATTAGATGGTGAAAGGCTGTAATGAAATAATTGATGAATAAATTGATGCCTGGGTTACTTTTCTCTATTGGTTCCAAATTCGATATCACTAATTAATCTCAATCCAACCAAATTTATTCTTCCTAGCTGCCCCAAGGCTCATGATATGTACACAGCATCACAAACAATCGATAAGCCACTGTTTATTCAGGTTGCCATTGACGATTAGGTTATGTCTATATTGATAATGGCCAGGATGCCTATGGAGTTTGCTCTCTTGTCTCTCTCTCTCTCTCTCTTTCTCTACAAACTTTGCTTAAATAAGTGACATTTCCGTACATGACATAACCTAATGATGGCAGGGAGCAATGACGGAAGTCATTACTGGTATGTGATAAATCTGTTCTTTTAATCATACATTAGGATGAATGCCTATATTGACAAAGGAGCAGGCGTGTTAAGTTTGCTCTCTTGGTTCTCCCCTCTCTCTCTGTCTCTCTGTCTCTCTCTTTTTATCTGTCTCACAAACTTTGCTGAAGTGACATTTCTGAACAATGTTCAGGTATGATTGAAGGCAGTAATGCCCAATTGGTAAACCGGTATCTCATAAAAATCAGTTGTATAATCCAATATTAAATTAGGGTGAAAATATTGTTAGTTTTAAAGGAATCATGATTATGGATGAATTCATGTATTTTGGTCCAATCATATTCCTGCCTGATAACGGTATTCATAAAGGCAGAATTCTTTGCATGCAGTTTTATGCCTAATTACTCAAAGAACTTAATATAGTAGCTTGTTAATATTTATCACTACCAGATCATTTCAAAGTATAAATAATACATACTAGTATTTAGAATGAGTTTTTAGAGCAGTATATCCTCACCCAATGAAATAGGGTTACAATACTACAATTACTAAATACAAATATTTAAAAAAAGGAAATGTTCTCACAGCAAAGACATGAATCAGTACACAAGTAGTTACACATGTTATTACTGTTAATAGAAGAAGTGAAATTACACTGGATCAAATCAAAAGTAGAAGGAAAGAAAATTAAATCTACAGCTACTATGAGACTTAATGTGAGAGAATGCAAGCAAAAGGTGAAGTGCATGAGCAAAATAAAGCAATTTCATTTCAGAAGACTTACGACGAGTGGCTAGGTCTGGAGTTACACTATTGGACCTCGGTCTCGATTCATTCAGCGCTATTAAAGGATAAATAGGCAGGAAATAGAGTGAAGCAGGTGCAGGACATTTCAAATAATTCTATAACTTGTGTTTATTCATATTGTACTTCGAAAAGAAGAAAAAGAAAGCAAAAATGAACTCAATTGCACAAGCTGAATGGAGAAAAAATGCAGTGAAAATGATTTATAATTGACATTATCTATCAATTATAAGAGAAGTAAAATGCAGCTGTTCCTTACAATTTTTTGACTTCTCAAACCAGAGTAAAATATTTGTGGTTGCTGGAAGAAATATCAGGAAAAATGAGTACGACAAAAAAAAAATATCACTTTGCAATGACAGTTATGAAACATTTTGAAAATATGCCCGCACAAATGGATTCAACCCCAAAAGTAAACACTTTATTATGGTCCTACGTGGATATGTATTTAATGTACTCGATAACTCGATACACTTTGTATTTGTGTCTACGTCACCAGGTGACACTAAAAAATGTTTTTTACTTCAGCAAGAGAAAAACATGGCTAGAACAAATAAAATAGAGAGAAAGAGAGGGAGAGAGAGAAAGAGAAACATTGTCGTAATTCAAAGAGTATAATACCAGATGGGGTGCTCTCCTCTTACCTTCCCAATAAAATGAAAATCAATTGATTTCACTTTCAGTTTAAACACTGTCAATAGCATCTCGAGTGAGAAAAATCTACAAGATCTCACAATAACCCAATTGGGCTGCATTTACGAAAAAATGTTTGTCACAATACCAACAAGATATATCATTCATGTTCCATCCCTTTCACGCTAAAGAATCTCCTCTAAGTCGTTAAAGAGCCAAGCAATTTACAAGGGGTAACCTTGTCAAATCTCAAAGTGTTTGTGCAGTCCAATCAATGTGGTCTAGACAAAGGAAAACGGTAAGCCACAGAATCAATAGGAGAGACACCTAACAATCGTCCAGGAGGTGTTTGTTTGGTGTTGTACATGGAAGGGGAGGAGAGGGAGATGGATGCCACCAGATGGCGGTTGAAAGTTGTGGGATTCGTTCGTGCTCCGATCGAGCCTCGATCGTGAAAGATTTTCATTCACAAGTCATGATTGGAACAGGGAAAAAAATACACAGGGCTCAGGGCAAATTTGCCCCCAAAATGCCAAAAAGAGCCCCCAAAAGTCATAAAAGAGCCCCAAAATTTTGCATAGAGTTCAATGCAAAACAAATTAAAGAGTGTTATTTTCATGCAAGCAAGCTTGAAAAGTAGCCCCCAAAATTTTTAAAGTAATTTTTTCCCTGGTCAACCTCTTGAAAGGTTTTTCGTTCACAAGTCATGACTGAAAGTTAATTTGTGATCAGCGAAACCCAGAATTGAATGACAGAATGAACAAAGATGCATGAATCCTCTCTCAAAAATCACTCAAACACTATGACAAAAAACTCTTCACATAGTCATCTTTTAGGACTTGAATGCGTGGATTGGATTGATTGTTGAACACCATTTAAAAGAATTAATTTTATTGCTGTATTGAAGATTTACAGGGCTGCTTTAGACAAGCGTTGCGCACCGGATATAAAGAGGAGAGAGAGAATAAAGTAAGAGTGAAAACTTGAGAGACAGAAATAGTAGCATTTTTTTTCCACACTCTAGCGTACACGATATGCCTTTCAAAAGCAGGTGTCAATATCTTCATGACTTGATAAAAAACATATCATATTTATATCCTGCCTGTCAAAGCAACTCATAATTCTTTTTGCTCAGCCCACAGGGAGGCAGGAAGCCATCCCAATGATACCGGTAGGTGCAATACTTTGCGGTTGAGCGCATACACCTCCATCGTGTCTGCACCAATGCCTGATCAATAACAGCGCACAAAGACAGCAAGAAAGCTGCCGATTAATCAATAATGCAATTGAAAGGCACTTCCATTCAAGTCCCCGCAATTGCAAGAAGAGTGTTTTTCCGATGTTACAAGAGTAGTTGGTGAGGATAACACGATAGAACCCTGACAAAAGTGTCAATTTTCACAGGAATATTCCAAAGAAAGATCACATACACGTTTTTTGTCACAATTTACCCAAAGGAAGCATTTCTAACACTATCCCAAAGAATATACTTAAAATATCATAGCTAGCATACATGTATGTACACGTGGCAAAGAATTAATTCACAATTTAGACTAAAAAGCAAATGGTTTCCACAGTATCAAACTACAAATCAATTATTCGCGGGGTGATGATGAACGTTGCTCATAACAGTGCAAAACAACTTTTTCAGGATTGAAAAAGCATCCATCTATTGGCAGCAGGTGTGGTTCTATCAGTGAATTCTAAAGAATTGTCAAGACTATTTCTTCCCTTTTTTTCTTCCAATTAAACAGCGTTACAGAGTGGGAGGCCATTGGCCACAGTTCAAAGTCAATAGGTCTGTTTTCATCAGCTCGAGATTGCCAAATAGTGGGATATTTGGCAATCTTGAGCTGATGAGGACAGGCCTAATAAGAAAGATCTCTCTTTTTCTCTCAAGAAGAAAGTTATGAAGGACACAAGATAGAAAGGATGTACGTCTTGAGCAGGTGCTAAAATGGTTGCTATAAAGTAAAGTGCGAGGCAAACTTCAAAGGATACAAACATTCAATCAACTCTAAAGCTTTTTTGTGTATTTTTCACTTGTTGATTTTCACAGAAAAGTCTTGCTTTGAAAGAATGGACAAATACGGTCTACTTGCACTTTTTTCAGTGAGCAATTTACAGATCACCATATATTATACTTTTACAAAAGAATGTTCATTGTTAATTTTTGCACGTATAAATTAAACCAAAATCACAAAATTGCACAATAGAAAAGTACCTTGGATTTTCCATTAAAATGTGTCAAAGTGTAGTTTTAGACTTGCTGCACATAAGATAAAAACAATTACCATTTCACAATAAATAAACAAAACACACCTAATAATGTTTACTGAGCTAAGCAGGGCTTAAACGACAAATACATGTTGATGACCACTTTTTTTACCCATCTAATTTTTAAATAATTGATCATGATTTAATGATGATTAAATACATAGTTACACATTAAATACAAACTGGCTTCTAGTTCTACTAATATGATAAATTTTGAACAACTTTACAAAGATATTGGTTATAAAATACTCACATCTATTTCTCCTTTCATGAGTCTTTGTCTGAAGATCCTTGGCCCTTTTGATCAAGTTTTCTCTCTCTTTCTCTTTCTTCACTCTCTCTTGCCTTGCCGCTTGAAGTTGTTGTAAAAGATCTGCCACTATCATATAAAACAGAGAAATTGAAAATCAATATCATTAACCCTAGCAATAGAAAAGAACAAATTATCAAGCAACATAATTGCAACAATATTGGCTGCATGATTCACATTTTCAAGTTTAAAAGTGGCCTTTTTTTATCATCAACATACCTTGTGTATTTAAAAGTGACACCAAAAAAAATGAATAACAAAATAAACATTGCAATGGAATACAGGACAGACAGACAATGTATGATTTCAAATAAATGGTCATCCACGTCATTTCTGATTGCATGACAAAAATAGCCATGCTGGAAACAACACTAGGAAAAAATAAGTTGATAAAATAGCCACTCCATAATACAGTATTCATGCACCTCACACAAACGCAAGATTATGAATCGTATTCATCCAAGCTCTAATAAAGCAAAACAAACATGAGATGGCAAGCATGCATAATACGCTAGTCGATACTGAAATTAATTCTGTACCCGACTCCTCAGTAGAGGGAAACTGTCAAATTAAGAGGAATAACAATTTTAATAAATGATTAACGATCACTGGCAATATTGACATAATATATCAAATGTAACTAACTTTTTTTCTAAGAATGTAGCAATTCAAAAATTTAATCATCATTTTCATTAGCTTTACAATACATCCTAGGTTTTCAATCAGTGCTGGAAAAAAATGGTGTCAATAATTCCTGTATGAATTAACCACCATCTAAAGATCTGTACATTTTAATACCAAGATAATAATCTGGATTTATATAGCGCTTAATACAAGATATCTCCCTTGGCGCTTTACAGATATTATTACCCAGGTCATCGGATTCATTCACGCACAATATACATGTACACCATCTCCACTCCCCAGGGAATATTCTGACCGTATGGTCACTGTGAGGGCATTGCAATTACTAATACAAATGCTTTCGTCATCCTATCAGGGCCCCATTTCACAAAACTTGTCATCAGTGAAAAATACAGTTTTAGTTATAAGCTAGTAAAATCCTTGATTCTGAGTGTTTATCAGCAGATTTGACACTGATTTTTGTAATTTGTCATTGAAAAAAGGCTTTGTGAAATGGGTCCCATGTCCCCATTTTTCTCCTGGGTATGGAGTGGCAAATTTAGATTATTGCCTTGCCAAAGGACATTACACAACATTACTATGTTGTGTCGAAAATTGTATCTGAAAGCTAGCAATGAAAGAGAGATTTCATTTACAAATACTCAAGATGCATGCATGACAAAGCATGTGCGCTCTAGCTTCTACTCTTTGTTTAGAGGCCTCTACCAGTTGTTTAATCAAAAATCTCTACAACAGAACAGGGACTTGTTTCACAAAGCCTTTTTTCAATGACAAATGACAGAAATCAGTGACAAATCTGCTGATAACCAATCAGAAGCAAGGATTTCAGTAGCTTATAACAAAAACTGTCATTTGTCACTGATGACAAGTTTTGTGAAACACCCCCAGTACTATTTCAAACCCAAATTTAAATTGCTTTGAACTTACTCTCTGGGTCTGTTTCATAGATGTCTTCCTCGTCTGTTATGCTGCTTTTTCTTATCTTCCCAATCTAAATGAAAAAGAAGAGAAACATAGAAATAGATTTGATTTCATATGTACCTAGACAATTACATAATATATATATATATATACATGTATGCACAAACATACCCCTTTCAGATTAAAACAACATTGTAAAGCCTTAAGTTTTAGAGCACATACATGTTTGCTCTTTCTGTAATGATAAAATATCCTTTATTACCGTTATATTTTTCCCATGATGTGTAGTACCAAAAAGAATATTTGCATGCATAAATGTAGGCCTACCAAGGCTTTTCCATGAATTGCAAGAAAAAAAAGCAGTTACACAGTCAAGCATTTGGTACTTACTAATCAACTTGTATTGCCCTCAGTTCAAGGAAAAGTCAATCGACAATCTACACAACAGCAATTTATACAAATTTCTGCAGGGCATCCACAAGGCCAATGCTATATGAACAGCTAAATGTATGACATGAATGGGGCATAAAAAGCAACATTGTAATTTGTATAGAGAGCAGCTGAATATATTGATTGCCCAGGTGTCAAAGTGTCAAATTTGTTCACATTTATTGCCATAGCAACTACAGATATGACTAGTTAATAAAAGATTTAAAAGCATGTATACCTTTGCTTTCCTGTGAACCTCTGGCGTGAGATGCACCCTTTTCAAACCATCCTGTACGGCTTGCTGTGATGCCATCTCCATCTCGGTATCCTCCCTAGATCTATTCCTCCTGCTCCCAGGATGCAGGGGGTGACCCGCCGTCTCCCCGCCTCCATCCTGCCTCCATGTCGACTGGGGTTCATAGTCCTCCAACTCGTCTTCCGCTCGCCTCCTCATCTGCTCATCGTTTAGGAAGTGCCCTCGGCCGTCCGGGGCTTGGTTAGTTTCCATGGCAATAGTCGCATCATTGTACTCCTCCTCCCCCTCACTCAAGGGCATTGAACTATCGAAAGCTGCGGCTCGTTCCCTCTCAGCGATACCCCGCTGTCTCTCTGCCTCTTCCTCTTTCTTCATTTCTTCTTTCATCTTTTCTTCCTTCTTTCTTTTCTCCTCCATCTCCCTCTGCCTTTGTTTCTTGACCTCCTCCTGTCTTTTCTGCTCCAACTTTCTATCATGTTCTCTTCTCTCTTCCTCTCTCTGTCTCTCTACTTCTCTCCTCTCTTCTTCTCTTTGTCTCTCTACTTCTATTCTCTCTTCCTCTTCCCTTCTCTCTTCTTCTCTTTGCTTGATCTCTGCTTGTCTTTGCCTCTCTTCTTCTATCTCTTTTTCTTGATATCTATCTGATTCGTCCCAGCTTCTTTCAGTTTGTCGGAATTGTCTATTTTGTGTTTGATCAGGATGGAGTTGGTTGTAGTATGGATCATCAATATCAGATTTTCTTCTGAAATGTGAAAGCAAAAATCAAAATCAAAAAAGTGAAGGAAAAAAAAGAAATCATGCACCTTTTCCTGAGTTAAGCACGTTGCAAAATAGACAAATACATGAATCAATGTGTATTATGTGTCCATATCTCATGTTCATAAAGTGTTTGTATATTTGCTGAGATACCTTATACTCTGGCTAACACATCTACACCAACCATTTAACATTTGCAAGAAGCAAATGTCTTTTAAACAGTGTGGAAAAAATCATTTTAAGTTTTTTTTTTCCCTCTCTTTAAACCTAACATACTTTATAATTATGTACAATTGTGATGTAGTTATTGCTTCATTGATATAGGACTTTCTCAGGTGAAGGGAAACATATAGCCAATACAATAGAGAAGGAGAAAAACAGTGAAGTTTGGGCGATTATATTTTTTAAAGCAAAACCAACAACAAAAAGTAACATGATTAGTTCATTACTTTAAATGATACTAATACAAATGTTGCTAATTCTACCTTTCATAGTCTGGATCATCATCATCCGGTGTGGGTTCTGCTATGCCGGAGTCCTCGTTTGTGCTGTTGGTGTAAGCATCAGGGCGACCCGACCCGAGGGGGTCACCCTTGTACCCCTGCTGCTGCTGCTGCTGCTGCTGCTGCTGCTGCACCATGGGACTCTGACCTGGGGGTGGGGGGTCAGAGGTTGGCGTATCAGGGGGCGTGGCACTCAGGGGTGCAGGGAACGACACACTGTTAGGATCGTTATGAGACAGTCTACGAGAGCCAGACTGGTGAATGTTGTTGCGGAGGTGGTGATGATGGTGGAGGTTGTTAGTGTGGGTGTGGTGGAGACCAGTGGTTGCGGGTGCGGTGTCTTGAGCGACATCCTTCCCGGGGGATGCATTATTAGTGGTGCGCTTGTTAGTGGGGCTTGCAACATCTGCAACAACTTGGTTAGTATCATCGTCTGAATTAGACTGGGTGTTAGATGGATCTGCCGAGTTAGAGGAAACGGGATGGGATTTCTTAGTGGTCTTGAGGGTTGATTGTTGCGGGCGAGACCCACTTTGGGACTTGACTACAAGCACATCATATGTGTGATGAGCAATAAGGGGTAAAGGCTGAACTGTTTTGAAAGAAGCTGAGTTGTTAGCGGATGTGTTAGGATTGTCCATGCGTCTAGGGTCATAGTTACTATCAGGAGGAATAGCTACAGGATGACTTTGATTAGAACGTTGAGCTGAATCAGCAGAAGTGTTAGTCAGGTTTGGATTGTGTGTGGGATAGGGTTGTGGAGGGGGGTAGGGGTGGTGGTTGGAAGACGGGGGTAACCTTTGACCGGGGATGGAAGTAGAATGCATTGTGGGAGAGTCCCCTGCCACCAATGGAGGGTGAGTGTTGTGTTGTGACGGTACAATCATACCTGAGTGATACATAAAATTGCAACAAAATCGAAACAATATATAAAGCAACTGCATGCACAAGAAATAAAGGAAAGAAAAGTGTAATGCATGCAAATATAGCTGAACAAACAAAACGCATAATGAAATAAAAATCCATGCAATGAGACACATACAGAATTTTATTTCTGTTTTCTTTAAAATACAGATCAAACATTCTTTTCAAGAATTTTTTTGGCACTGTTTATTATGAGAACCCCCCCCCAAAAAAAAAAAAAAAAATAAATAAATAAATAAATAAATAAATAAAAAAAAATAATAATAATAATAAATAAACAGTCTTTTATTGTTTATTTTTGCATTCCTCTTTTTGGCAAGTAACAAATAAGTTGATTTCCAAAGATTTTCCCCCATTCCCACAGAAAAAAACACAAATAAATAACATTAGACAAAACACATATGAACATGACCATGTGTATAGATGCAAATTCCCATGCATGTAAGCAAGAAAATAATGTGAAAGTAATGTGAAATAATGGCCAACCATGCATGCAAGTCTGACAAAATACATGTATGTGCGAGCATGCAAGAGGACAAATCAAACAAAATAGGCAAACATTTTGTCAAATGGTCATCATTGAAAAAGAATCTCATCAAAATCGTGAACAATTATTGCAATTATAATTTATAGATCTGAAGAAATGTGGCATCTTCCCTCTTTAAAGAGAGAGATACAGAGAATGTATTGTTTCTTGGGAGCCAGAGGGGTGCTAACTGTGTTAAATATAAGAGTTACATAATATGTAAGGACCTTTTGGCTATGAAGAGATGATATATCACTCGGCTGAAATTAGTTGGAAGTGTAATTTATGCATGCTTTTATTAGGACCCACCACCAATGGTACAAGCATACATTGTCTGCTGAGGGCTGGAATGATGTTACCTCTTTATTAATAAAATGTATATGAATGCATTGGCTCTCAGCGGATAATGTGGTTGAATTCACAAAAAAGGTTTAAAATCAAACCATGTCCTAAATCATGGTTTAATACCCCCTCCTGAAGTAAAACAGGCGTAAATAAGTGTATTTATTGCCCATTATTGGACATAAGTACACTTATGGAGGTTTTAACAATGGGCTAAAAATAGACAATCAATTTTTGTGAATTCAAGCCTTTGATGATAAAAATATAATTAAATGAAAGGTATGCAATGCATATTGAAATTGCAAATGAGTGTAGATTGCATATTAGTGGATGAACAGGTGTATTAATTGTCTTTTGATGACTGCTGCTTCGTGAAAAGTGTCATGAATGGTTGTGATATGAAATTCTGATCCACCAGTCTGCTCAACTGCATGCTCATAAACAAATCCTTTATCAAAATCTTTTACTTTTTTCCCCTTCAATAGTTCAATTGATTATTCAAGGCAATCGTAAATACTGGTATATAACAATCCAATGCATCTTAGCTGCATTCAGAGTGCAGAGATATATACTGAATAGAAATACAGTACGGTAATATTACTTTCTTTTATAATAGTGAAAAAGTGTTTTAGATGCTTTCTCTCTCTAAAGCAGGGCTCCCACTTAGGCGAGTTGGAGCCTCTAGTTGTGGCGAGCTGGCGCGAGTTTATGGCAAGCCATTTTATCTTTAAAACATATTTCTTGATATCATTATGTTTTAATGATAAAGCCATCAGCTCGCCACAACTAGAGGCTCCAACTCGGCTAAGTGGGAGCCCTGCATTACTTTGTTGGTGTTTCATTCCCAGTATATAACCAGCCTGTTTTTGAATATCATGTTCAACACGTTGCATTGTAGTATTAAAGGTCATGGTGTACAGAGATCTAGCAACATAATTACATGTACCTACTATCATGTTCACACTGCATGTTTACCTAAACAGATAACATTTTCAGAACTTAGAAGATGAAGTACATGAAAGTCTACTTGAACTTTATCTCTCTCATAAAATCAAACCACTTCAAATATTTATGGATATGTGCTAGCACTCTTTTTAAACGCCTTTGTGCATATATAGGGCTTACCAGTATTAGGACCAAACCATACGTGTAATTTCCTCACTTTTCAACCACAAGATAAAGAGAGAAATAAGAAATATAGTACCTATTTATTGTCATAGTACTTGATGACAGTTTGGAAATTTTAAAAGTTTTTTTTTCCCCAAAAGACTTTGAAAGGTATTACAAAAGACATGCTAGTAAATGTGATGTAAACATTATCAGAGCAGTCAGAAGTTTAATACATTTCATTACAGAACATGAATTTTGTTTAAGGCTGTGGACAAGAGACACCTATAGCTGTAGGAAAACATTACAATTACCACAGCAGGTTCAATTAAAGGAGGGACTCTGAATTGATAATTTTTAATCAAATGCCTATCTTAAAACACCTAGCTCATATTACTAATTAATCCTTAGCTAGTTTCCTTACCGATATAAATACCTGAAGTCTGCACTGTCCTATCTAGAGGTAACCTGCCTAGTCTATCTGCCTTTATACTGAATGGTATCTCAATCACCCTACCCTGTTGTCTTTGGAAAGTTCCAGTGGACTCCTGGCCAATTTTTCCTCCTATTCTCCTACCACTGTATGTCTTCCTCATGGCTTTAACCTGTCCTCCACCTAAATCCTTCTCTAACCCTGTCTCTATTTTCCTAACCCTATCCTTCCTGTCCCTAATCGGCGCTAAAGTCTCTTTCGCTTTCTTCTGCGCTAGCTCGGATATCTTTGATCGTTTGGCTTCCTTGGACCAGGCTGCTTGGGCCTGTCTGAGTCTCTTTGTTCTCTCTAGTCCAGCCTTACACTGAGGTGCCTTGGTACCAGCTGTTTTCTTGTTCCCTAATACTGGTCTTGCGAATTCACCCTTCTTGGCTAATCTAGAGGTGGCTTTGTCGCCTCGAGCTAACTTTTTCTCTTTCGACTTTGCTATCTTTGTCTTGTCTGCACTACTCTTGTCCTGTGCCTTTTCCTGACTGGTTTCTAAAACTATCTTGCTTTCTTTACCTAAGCCTGCTTGGAAAGAGAATCATATATATTGACTCTGAACACTTACCCCCCTCCCCCACTTCCACTCATCATTTAAAGTTTGATAATAAATCTTTCAGCATGCATCTAATGAAAGAATATCTCTGTAGCCAATTGATCTATTCGTTGTATTAAATGTGTTTTGATTTTAATGAAAGTTAATTAAGAGAGTCAGCAGCTAGCTGAAATTCCACCCAAATATTTAACTATTGTACATAGCACTCTCCAAAACGTAAACTTTCCTTCCTATTGGTAATTGCAGACTTCAAGTAAGTGACCGTGGATTCATCAATCCATAAAGTTGTCAAGCATTGAACCAATCAATTTATCATCAATCAATCAATCAATCAATCAACACATCAATCTATCCAACTCACCATCAGACGATGGCGCCATTCTATCGTGATTGGCGACCTGGGGGAAATGGGTAGGGATGCCGTTGATCGGCTGAGTTGCGTTAGGTCGGGGTGAGTAGCCCGGGAAGGATTGGTACATCGGGACACTCATGCTGTCCCTTGAAGCCTCCAGGACCACTATCTCTGGAGCCCATGCCTACAAAAGGAAAGCATGGAGGAAATTCTCAAAAATTGTTTCATTTTCATATCAATGAACCGAAAATTCAATTGTGAGTATGGAAAATGTTAAATCATAAAAGAACAAGTGTATAATATCCCTTTTATGCACACTTTTTGAAAATTTTGAAAAAGATTGGGAGATACATTACATGTAGGTCTCAATTATCAAAAGCTTCAGTACACCTGGCAAGAGAGTGGCAACTACAGAATATTGTCTTGCCAAAGGACACTGATGTTGTGATGCGGTTTGCCCCAGATGTAAATGTATTTGGCCGGGTGTGCCGAAATGACACTGCTTTAACATACTAGTATACAGTGTACAGTATGTGCATCATACTTCTTTACAAAAATGGATTAAAGGTATCAACAAATTTAAAGAGTTACTATCAATCCAAGTTTCAAAACTTCCAAAACTTTGCATTACCTTTTATAATAGTTATTATCCTAAATTGATTGTGATTCTAAATTGATTGTGATTGAGAATAGTCTGAAAATGATCTTATACATACACGTACATGTCCATGACTCTCTAATCACTAAATAAACTTTGATCAATGATATGCTCTTTTGTTACTGGCACACAAAATAAACAAGACCAAAGAGCAATTCTGCTGTAAATATGTCTTTGTTTGCATGGAGCCAGAAGGGCGTTAATTCTTAGTTAAAGAGAAGGTTGAGTTCTGGGAAGAGGTGAAAAATAATTTGTGAGCGTTATCATTCTTATTATGCAAGTGTGGAAGAACATCAGATAAGACATGTTCCCTGAAAAGCATAGCTCTTCAAATGCCTTCATATTCTAAATATGTCATGTAACATCGTAAAACTCGGGGGTCGGATTTTTACGCCACGTGTTTGTGTAGTCCCATATACATCTTTCTGTGTACAGTGTTTGTAACTTTACCAAGACTTGGCCAAATTTCTTATCATTTTGATGATTCCAGAACCTTGCAATACACACAAATTCTTATATGCTAGATGATCTACCTTTTCTGGTCGATTCCACACCATTTCTTTCACAATGCAATCGCATGACTAGAACTCAACTTCATCTTTAAACTACATGAGTCAATACCTTTCTGGCGCTATAACAAACTTCATGTCTCTATAAACTTTGTGTACATATCTATTTGAACTTACTGTAGGAGGCAGAAATGCCTTGCATTTCAGTTCCAGCTCTTGCCTTGGTTTGATCTACACATGCAGAGTGAAAAAATCAAGAGGAGAAAATTGAACATTTAAAAGAAATGAATGACAGTGTCATTATATTTGTTGGGTATAGGTTGAACATAAATTATGCGATGAATAGCATGCCTGATTATCAAAGTAAAACACAATAACCAAAAACATAAAAATTGTGTGCTGTATATAGGACCAAGCGTGTTCCTCAAACCTACAAATGTATGAGAAAGGCTTCTATTTCTTCAGCACTAGCAAAGTTAGAAATCAATTCCAGATTTTACTCCATAAAGATTTAGGGACAAATTACGATAAAATGTCTTAATTTGTATTTTACTTACAGAAAGTAATTACTATTGATGCTGTGTCAGCTTATAAAGTTTATAAACATGCAGTTTTGGATCATTAAACGATTACACGATGAGTGGCAATGAACTACATGCCTGTACTTATTTCATATTTACGAGTGAGCTATATATAGTGAATGCATTTCATAACTATACAACATTTCCACTTTCAAGGACAATTTGTGTCTGCATTTGTTGTCATAGCAACACTAATGGCATAAATATAAAGAGTGAATACCTTATCGATAATGTGCAATATATTTATTGCATATCACGCTATTAGCATTTACCTGTCAGTGGTTCATATCTCCCAACCCTTGATCAACATTAGTTTTTTATTACTGTGACACTTTGTAATCGATGTGCATGCATGCACTGCGTACAGTGTATTCAATATTGCGAAGGACAGGAGTTACTGTATTAGTAGCTTAAATGTTATAAATTTTGTATGAATAGCCATATCAACTGATTATGGTTTAATTAAATAGAGTGCTCATGGTTTGCTTATCTAACCTGGCATGCATGGAAACCTATACTAGATAGCCTCTGATTATTTTTTTCAGCTTGTTGTAAAATCTAATTTATCTGTACATTTTTTGATGAAATTTTAATGGTTTCTTAAAAGTAGCCCATGCAGAAATGGAAAGGTTTTGCTTTGTTTAACCAGACCTGACTCTGTGATATTTTAAATCTTGAAACACAAAACAAAACACAATTTTCAAGTTAGGGGAAACTCATAATCTATTCTATATGCATCAACTGACCTGGAAATTTGCTAAGATTTTGCATAACATGAACCTTAAAATAAAATTCATATTCTGTACAATTACATGTGTACATGCATCTACATGATTTTGTGTCCCTCTTTATTTATAATTTGCTATTACTCGCTTCCTTCCATTTATTAAAAGAAGCTCATAAATGACTTTGGTGAATTTAACTTCAACATCAAATGGCGGTTTCACATACATGCACTGGAATTGCTTAGGAGACGTACTGTACTGTACCGCTCTCTATAAACTTAATCTATGTTCTATCAAAATTGTTTCTTGACTAATCAATGCTTTTCAGAGTAACCTGCCTAGTCTGAAGGTAACACCCAGAAAATGCCATTGAAAGACCAGTCCTAATTGAAAAGAAATTAATTATCGTTGTGGTTTGACATTGTTTAGCCTTCGATCGTAAAGATGCCCAGAGCTAGGAAATTACATTTACAACAAATCAATGAACATGGCCACATTGTGGTCTCTATTTAATGATTAGCTGTTCCAATAAAAATTAACATCATTGACCAGTTACACTAGTGCAGACTTGTACTGTACATGTACATCCACAGGGCTATAGGGCTGTGCTTAAAGGCCCACTGCACTACTTGTAGCTACTTGCGCCCTCTATATAACAAACAATGCCTATAATCGGTGACCATAGGTCCCCCATGATCCTCTTTTTCTTATGTTAACTGAGAGCTGAGTTGATGAGATAACCACCTGTCCAGTGACCTTGCAGGGCAGTCTTATCCCTCCTATAAACTACGGCAGATAAGCTTTAAGTATTTTCATCAATTCATTTACTTAATAATTGAATTAATTTCCAGACAAAGTAAAAAGAAAAAATAAACATCTAAGAAATAAAGAAAGTAAGAAATACCCCTGACTAGCACCCAAGGATAGCCAAAAGGATTAAGTTATAATTCTTGTTAATTGTTCAGGCTCTCATCATTAGTCAGTGGTTTACAAATATACTGTAACATGTACATAAATACAAAAATACAATCTCAATTTCCACTATATACTGAAGACTTGAAGCAATAAGACAAGCAATTCACGGAGAGCATCTGTGCCTAACAGAAAAGAATGGCGAAATAGAGGGTGTGGTATCAAAGGAAAACAAAAGTAATTGTACGGTATACATGTACTAATTAGGTGCCATTTTGGAGCTCTTGATGATTAATTGTATGTAACACATCATTAACACTAAACTGTATCCCTTAGATCAGTATACAGACTTCACCTTAACCCCTTAGCAACCGACTGTTAGCACCAGTGTGTGAGTATAATAATAGCTGAGGAGTTACAACCAGTGGATTGTTCTTCCCTAATGACTGGGTTCTTACAATAGGAAAGCAAACTTAGGCCACTAGAGCGCATCGGGCACTGAAGAGTTTCTTGTTTTCAAAAGAAGCCTCTCAAAGGCCACTTGCTGCTGATGCGCCCTTTCAGGGGGTAGTCCTATGAATGGAGCCCACACGTATGTTGAAAGGCCTTTCAAAGGGAAGAAGGGCTTATAAATGGAAAACATTTGGTAAGCGTGGCCATCTACAAGTATGTAAATAAGAGCTATTGGATAGCTGCAGATGAAGAGTGACAGTGTACATGTTGATTTAAAAGCTGTTAAAAGCAGGCTCTCTTTTCAGAGTAAACATTGACTAACTTTTCAAAGTAAGCATGGAAAGAAAGAATTAAAAGTAAATATCTAGTGTATTCCAATCCACGTACATGCTACATGGATGAACTGTTGCTATGGGGTACTTAAAAAAAAAAAATTCAATATCTTAAATTTAAAAAAAACGTGTTCATTAAAATTATTTGTGATTAAGAGGAAAATTGTGTGAACCGGTATCTATCAATTATAGTTTGCAAACTTTGCACTAACATACATATTACAAGAAAAAAGTAAAGATTATATGTACTGTACATAAAAGCATAATTTCTATATCTTTAAATCTAAATAAATAATCTACAAAGCAACTCAGACAAGGAAAGTATCTTGTCAATAAACATATATTTTGATGAATTGCAGTGTATGAACATTTATCAATTAATCAGCTGACTACTGAATTATGTATAACTCCCAAAAGATTAATATAGAAACCATATGGTTCCAAAAGGCAAAGGGTTAATACATCAACAATTCTTGTACATATGTACCAAAATACATTTCAATTTTTAAAAAATCAAACATTAGCAAACATTTTAAATGTACTCTAATGATTGGAATGTATCAGCCAGGGAATGTTTAAAAGTACTACTGTACCAACATTTACTAAATGAACTTCTTCATTGTTAAATCAACAGTAGGCCTACCACTGCATTTTACATCGAGATGAATTTCATATTTAACCAATTTACTGCTCCAATACAACCATACAATATCTCCTCCCATGACAATCAACAAATATCAATCTTATTGATCTACAATGCACAGACAGCGCAGCCCACTTTAATTGAAGTTGGAAGCATGCACTGGCATCGATAGCCAAGGAAAACAATGCATAAGTCCTCCCGTATTTCTGAGGCAATTCCGATATTAAAATTCTTTGTGTTTGGTTACGCGCCATTCACAGATCATGATTCTCTCGCAGTATACTCTGTAACTATGACAACAGTAAACAACGGCTAGTTCATATGGGGACTAATGCACTCACCCATGACAGTTAATTTCTGTATTTGGGGGCATTCTGTTGTGTAATGATGTACATTTGTAAATATGCATGCAATCCCGGTTTATCATACAGTATATCTTTAATAGCCAACAATTTCCTGGTGCATTAGATGCTGGAGTAGAATTTGGACTTTGTATTAAGATGTCCAGTGGGGAAAAATCGATAGAAAGACCGAGGCCTCATCATATGACTAGGACACTTGACTCAAGTGCACAGGGCTATTTTAAAGCAATTATTTTGGAGTGGTTTAAATAATATGATATGGCCAGAGGCGATATTTGTATTAACTTAACAAAATTAATTAACATGAGTTTGGTGAGTAATCAGTGCTTGTACATGAAGAACATTATGTTGTAGGCTTCAAATCAATTGACCTTAGCTCTTGGTTGTAATTAGATACTGTAATATGATATGAAATATATTGCTGGCTAATGTTTAATTTTTTTTAAATGGATATAAATCTTTTATCTACTTCAAAACTTCAATAAACAAAAAAGAATTCAATGGTTGAATCTACACTCAGAATAAGGAGAAGGAGGAGAAGGGGAAGGTGAAGGAGGAGAAAAAGGAGAAGAAGAAAAAGAAAAATAAAAAGAGAAGAAGAAGGAGAAGGAGAAGAAATAGAAGAAAAGAAAGGAAAAAAAAAAAACGCTGCTAAATATGTTTACAGACTGTACATGTATAAAGAGTTTGACACAAGTATTTCTAAGCCCTGAGAAACAAACAATATTGTTCACCTCGAATTTCAATCAATTCAGTCAAACAAAGGATATGAAATACAGTACATGCATGTACACTGTACGTACGCCTGAGAAACCTTCACATTTGGTAATTAAAATTCTGTATGTTAGAAAAAGAAAATACTCAGCAAGGGAAAACTACCATATTTAATTCTACTAGCCAGGACATTTTCGAGTTTTACTAATTTCTCTGGATGGGCAAATAATACTGTTTCTGATTGAAATGGTCAAACTAATTGTGACAACGGAAACAAAAAATTAATAAATTAATGACATCAATACATGTACGTAATATGAAGATGATTACACCAGTGGGGATACTGAATGGCTAAAATGTCAAGGATGATTATATGATGAATAATTATAGCACAAGTTTTATTTGTAAATCGGTCACTTAAAATGGCTACCATGCATTCAAAAGGTACCTCCCCCCCCCAAAAAAAAAAATAAAAATAATAATAATAATAATAATAAAAAACAAACTATTAAAATAAAAATATTAAATACATGTAAATACATAAATACATACATAAATAAATAAAATAAAAAATATGAAAATACATAAAAAGAAAAATAAATCCATTACTATCCTCTATCCCCAATGCCTTTTCCCCACACTTACAGTACATGGTCTGCATTACTTGAGTAGTATTGCAATTATATTATGAAATAATAAGTGTCATTTTTTCTTTCTGAATAATTGATTACAAGTACAAGTACATGTACATGTACATATGAACTCCTGTTGATCCACTTATGTTGGCATATAAATGTATTGGTTGCAAATTCATAAAAATTTTGTCTAGATCTTAAAGCATTTTATAGATTGTATTTTGTACCGTATGAGAAAACCTATTCACATGGTTTAAAACAAATATTTTAGAATTCAGAGGCATACATTATGTCTTTATTACAAATACAGAAAATTTGTTTGAAAGAAACAATATAAATAATTGAACAAGTGTGATGAAATTTAAGTTATACCGGTACTTCAAATTACATTAAATGTTAGGCAAATGACATACATTAATGCATATATGAAAGTCTTTTATATGAATCTTTGAAACGGAACAAATTCTTACCTGTGTCATACATCTTCCCACACTGCGGAGGAATACATAGTTCTGAGGTAGACTATCTCCTAACTCATCCTCTATCAAAGTCCGTAAACCACATACTGTCAGGTCTGGCCACACCCTAAAAACAAAGTGTACAATGCATCAGACAACAACCTTTAAAAATGTACCATACCGAAATACAAATAAAAGGTACAATTGACTATCCCTTTTTTCAAATTCTGAAATCAATGATTGTTTCTCTGTTTTACATAAAAACCCAATCTAGATTTTTCTTATTTATTTGAATCCTTTTTCTATAATTTGTGACATTTGTAAACACCTTTTTGGGTATTCAATACTTTTTATTAACTCTTTTTTTTTCTTCATAGATCTTTAAGCTATAATTTACCTGGCAACACAGAAAAATAAATGTGCAGTTATTGCTTTTTTTTAAAAGCAAATATGTTTTGTTTGTGAAGCATCTACAATCTACATCTTTCATCTAAATGGGCAACAATTACATGTACTGTACATACATGCTGCAATAATCAGCATTGATTTGGTAGGAAATGTGAATAACATGTTGTAAACTATTCATTAGTTTTTCCCAGGAAATCATAGATATGATAGATGATCTAAATTATTTATTTAAACAAAATTGTCTCCCTTCAGACTTCAGAATGACAATATTTTTCTATGGTTTTCACTTTTCAGACCCTATACAATTTTTTTTCTATACCTGGTAAGCAAATATAGGGGGGAAAAATCAATTTGACATACAACTATTTCAAATCTTCTTACCTGACAAATCCAGCAGAGCTTGCTTCCCTAATGGATTCATTGTACGTACTGCTATACTTCTCGTTCCATACTTCTCTTGGTAATAGATACACATGAAGATCAACCAACTGTTCATGTCAGAGGACATAGAAATAAAATAAAGCTTTAAAAATAGATGAAGTTGGGCTCTACAAACCAAACTAAAGAGTACCGGTACAGGCGTATACATTTCAAAACTAGTTTGCAGATGGTTAAATCTAAAATTTGCTGGTATACTTCAAACTTAAACTACAGGTATATTATAACATGTCAACATTTTATTTGGACCTTGTTATGTGTCTGGACTCTGGATGCTTTAATAACAAAAATTAAATGGTCGCCTTTGCCTTTGGATTAAACACAAACTTTGCATCAAATAGCTCCAAACATCATGAATAATCATCCTTTATAATTATTGTCCAACATGAGTCTTAGAAGAAAAAAAATTATCCAGAATTTGTTGTGAAAATTCATGAAATATTGCTTGTAAACTGCAACAAATTGCTGGTTTTGACCAACTGTCAAGATACACAACCTGTCCAGACACACACATCTGGGTAAGATGAAGATCAACCAACTGTTGATATTCAGAGACAGATCATGAAGGAAAAGGTATTAAAGAGGAGAAGAAAGAAAAGTTTTACATTGGTAGAAACCAAATTTAAAATTATTGTATTTTCTTTTAAATCACAGAGTTTGTCGATGAGACAATCAATACATCTTGACTTTGATCAGTTTGACAAAGGAACCTCATAAAGTTATAACTATTAATTATCTCAGAGATGTTCATTGTTATTGGAAATTTGAAAGAGATTTCTTGAGGTACGTGTATGGTGGTGTGACCAAAGTTCGCGCGTGACCAAAGTTCGCTTACTCAAGAAATTGGTGAAATTTCGAAAATCTGATATCACCAATGGAAAGAGGATCATAAAATTACCCAGAAACTAAATTGTGAAAATATTGACAAAAGATCTGCAAATTTTGCAGTTATTTGCGTCTGTTCCAAAAAATTATCAACTTACCATAATAGGTCTGGAAATCTTCATTTTAATAGAGAGCAGAAATCCTCAAAATTGTAAGTAAAAAGTGGTACCAACTGATTGTATAATTTGTATGATATTGCCTTACAAATTATGATATTATCTTATTTTTGATGGATCACATTTTTTTATAAATCGTGCGTGAAGTAAGGTCTCATTGTTTTCATGACTTTTTTAGATGCAACGCGCACGCACGGTCGAACATTAAATTTTTTCTAGTTGAACCAATCTATAGTAAAAGAAACTTTGCCGTCCATTCGGTCATAATTGAACTAAATGAATTTGTGTAGAATATGAGAAATCATAGATTGACACATTTTGTAATATGTTCTAAAATGTCCGTGAACTGTCTTTGGTCACCCCTTCGTAGGTCCAGATCTAGGCTCTAGAGGTCTAGATCTAGATTCTATATATGTAAGATAACATTAGATTTATGATTTTAACTTGCTTAAGTTAGACCCGTTATAAAGGCGTTATATGGTCATTACCAAAAATAAAAAAGAAAGAAAGAGTTACAACTTAGATCTACAGAAAAATTCAAAAGGCCAAACTGAACTGCTTTCCACAACTCAGAGTCAGACTCAGACTCAGAGTCAAACTCAAACTTCAAAGGTAAACTGACTGAATAGGTTAAAGCAGGTCTAAATCTTTCTTTTTGGACACGATATCATTAAAGTTGAAGGTCTAACTTTACAAATAGAAGTTTATACAATTACAACCCCTGTAGACTCTACATCATCACACGTGTTTTACGAGTAACTTGGGATGCGGGATGTGCATAGCCTCAGCGGAAAACATTCATTTCGACACTAACACAGACCCCAGAGCTTCGGGGAGGTTGATCAGTCGTTATCCGCTTCTCTGTAACGTTGGGTAAACAAAAAATCAAGAATTTGTTGTGAACTTACTTGTTCCGATGGCGGTCTTATCGGATAATCAGTTGTCATCTTACTTTAATTCCTCAAGTCACATTCCATTCACATTAAGCCATAGTATGTAGAGAAATCAATGCGAAAGTAAAGACCTATTTCACGAGAAACGTGGAAGATGAAGAATCACTCCCGAAAAAGAACCATACGATCCATCAATGACGAGCGTCCAGTTTCTATGGGCATTTGTCACGTGACTCAAATGATAATCTCATATCGCTCAGCTAATGCATGACGACTGAGCTGACAGGTGGTTCGAATTATTTCTACGTTTGATTAGATTAGATTTGATTTAGTTTGATTTAATATTATTTACGTTGATTTGGCCCTGGTCATAAATGAAGGAAATTGCAAAGTTAAATACAATTCTGTGTTTAGAAGGAGCTTACCTTACTTGCAATAGAAGCAGAAAAATCAGACAAACCAATCAAAAAAGTTTGAGCAAATTCGGATAACTAATAAGAAAGTTATAAACTTTGTAAGACATAAAAGACTTTGAAAATTGGCAACTAAATCATGAGTCTTTGACGTCATTGCCTCGAATCCCTCGATCACTGCATCCTACGAAAGACCATTAGTGCCACGAAGAAAAAAAAACACACTTTCTACTAATCTGTTTAAACAGATTACGATATTTCTTCTAGAGTCTAATCTGTTTAAACAGATTATAATCTGTTTAAACAGATTACGGTATTTCTACTAATCTGTTTAAACAGATTACGGTATTTCTACTAATCTGTTTAAACAGATTACGATATTTCTTCTAATCTGTTTAAACAGATTATAATCTGTTTAAACAGATTACGGTATTTCTACTAATCTGTTTAAACAGATTACGGTATTTCTACTAATCTGTTTAAACAGATTACAGTACTTCAACTAATCTGTTTAAACAGATTACGGTATTTCTACTAATCTGTTATAACAGATTACGATATTTCTTCTAATCTGTTTAAACAGATTATAATCTGTTTAAACAGATTAGGCCATGTAAAATTGATTTCATGTTGATCGTCCCCGCCCGCTTCCTTTTTGGGGGCCGCCTCCTATTTTTTGTTATTTTTTTTTTTTTTTTATTTTTTTATTTTTTTTTTTTTTTTAATTTTTTTTATTTTTTTTTTTTTTTGAAAGAAAAAAAACATGAAAAACACTGCTAAAATGGCTCTATTTCTGATTAAAAAAAAAAAAAATTGTCGGCGGCCATCTTGAAAAAAAATAGCCTCGACTGTCGGGGAAAATGTACCGAGCGGCCATTTTGAGCGGCCATTTTGAAATATCAAATATCAAATAACATGGTACACCCTCCTCCTCTTTTTCAAAAAATCCGGACGATCAACATGTAATCAATTTTACATGGCCTTACGGTATTTCCACTAATCTGTTATAACAGATTACGATATTTCTTCTAATCTGTTTAAACAGATTATAATCTGTTTAAACAGATTACGGTATTTCCACTAATCTGTTATAACAGATTACGATATTTCTTCTAATCTGTTTAAACAGATTACATTACTTCAACTAATCTGTTTAAACAGATTACGGATCCTACTTTTGTCACTTCCCCTGGCCTGCGCTGCGCGTTTTAGTGGCTGTGATGACGTCACCCGCACAGAATGATTTTAGCTGGCGAGAGGGAGGAGTTTGTCGGTGAGTAATTTATGCTTGAATTTCTTGAATTCATTTTTATTTCAAAAGAAATCCTAATATTTTGAGTGATCCAAACCTACTAGTATTTCTAAGGTTTTGAGAAGTTAATTAGGCAAACTTTCAAATTCAATACATTTTCCATCGTCATCATTATTTTCCTCTTCTTCCTTCTCCTCTTTTTCTTCTTCCCCTTCTTCTTTTTCTTCTTGTACTTAATATCATTTCTATCATCAGTTTAAATGTTGTTATTATTATCTTTAATAAGTAGTTCTTTTAATTTTCTTATCTGTCTGTAAATATTACTATTTTAACTTATTAATTTTATACATGTCTGTAAGGGACCCCACTGGAAATAAGCTCTCGAGCTTTCGTGGGTTATCCTGTTCAAGCTGACTTTTTTTGATCTGTTATTATTGTATATTGTTGTATGTTGGAAGCTTGTCGAATAAAAAATCAATCAATCAATCAATCAATTTTTCGGCTTGATTTGCCGTGCCCGTCAATGCCGTACGTGGCATGGCTCATGTCTCGTGAGAATTTGGACTTGACAGCTTGCCCCGAGTTTCGGGTAGGGCATCATCGGAAAATTCGTAGTCTGTCATATCGTAGATCTGCCTGCTTTTCATTGTGTGAAATTACTCCCCCCCCCCCCCAATCAATCAATCAATCAATGATTGAATGATAACAATAATATTTCACATTCACTGCTAAACTTGTTGGATAGAAGCAATCTGCTTATTGGTTTTGATAAAACTTGGCTGTTTAAGTTAGGTCTAGATCTAGACTAGATCTAGATCTAGACTAGGTCTAGACTAGATCTAGACTAGGTCTAGATCTAGTCTAGATCTACTAGTCTAGTCTAGAGGTCTAGAAATCTACTGGTCTGTGACACTGTCTGTGACTGTGTGGAACTGGTTGGTGTAAAAGTTACCGGTACCTATATAGGGATAGGCCTAGACCTCTACTTAGATCTAACTTTGTTAGACCTATTATGTTAGACCTAACCTACAGATCTAGATCTATAGGTCTAGTAGGCATAGACTAGACCTAGACCTAGACCTAGTCTATGTAATTTAAAGTAGGCCAAGAGTAACTTTAACATTAGCATTGCCATTAACGTAGGCCTAGGCCTACGCTACGGTTTGCAATTCATCAATCAAATGATAAATCCAAGCCAAGACCAAGTGAGGACTTTTCTAGACCGAAAACTCTGTCTTTAATTTCGTTGTTAGCCTCTTATTTGGGTAGGGTCGGCCCTAGGCCTACCCAAATAAAAGGCTATTAAGAGGCTAGCGACGAAATAGAGACATGATTTTCTGTCTAGAATCTAGGACTTTTCTAGCCAGGCTAGATCTAGATCTAGACTTCTACTAGAAATCTAGTAGTAGACCCCTACTAGTCTAGTAGGCTAGTAGCTTTAGAAAACTACATGGGGTATGGACTATGTTGCGTGTTAACTAGTAATCCCACATAATTCCCTTTTTTAATTAAACTACTAAAAAGCAGTATCCCTCCAGACAAGAAAACACTTAATAAATGATCACATCCAGACAAATTGATTATGGTTAAAAACTGGTTCTATATTCTATAATTTCACATAAGATACAATGATTACAGAATTATCAGAAACCTCTTCTGTCTATCTCAACAGTGACAGACAATTAAACTATCACTAGGCCCTTGGTAGTTACTATTAATAATCAAACATAGATAACTTCCAACAGCACATTAATGTAAAGGAGACTCAACTTAGTCACTATGGTATTAATGATTACCGCTGAATACAAGTCTCGAAATATCAGGAGTCTAGCTGTTCAGTACAACTCAAAACAGTACTAAAACAAGTCAGTTAAATATCATTCCCACTGCATGAATAATAACAGTCAAGAAAATACTACTCAAATCTAAGCTAGACAGCGTTTAGATTTACTTACATAGGCACGAAATATTGTGGTTCAAGAAACCGCTAAACAAATCTCTACTTGTGTATGTGTACGGAATGCACAACACGAGAATACAACAATATATCGGTGGATCTAGACTATAGCAGATCTAGATCAGTAGACCAGGCATAGGCCTAGAACTAGTGCAATTATAAACATGTAAAATATGTGTTAGTAAGCGTACGCACTCAACAACAGGCACTCAGTCAGTCAAAATAAGGCCTCACAATGATAAACAATGCAAAGCATAAATCACAATATAATTAACGTTACGTGAGTCATTGGAGTTGAATTCAAAGTAGATCTTCTTCAAGTTCTAGGTAGATGTAGAAACTAGCTAGTCGAAAACAGTGGTCGACGAGCTGGTTGTCGATCGCGTAGGATATGCAGACGATGATCGACGCTAGGTGAATACCACGATGATGAAGACGATGTTGAAGACAACGATGATGACAACAATGATGAAGACGACGCTGGTGAAGACAGCGATGATGAAGTCGACGATGAAGACGACGCTGGTGAAGACAGCGATGATGAAGACAACGGTGATGAAGACAACGATGATGAATCAGTTAACAGATGAATACAATGATGATGCAGTCAATGTCAATAGATCAACTTCAGTGACTTGCGATGCAGGTCGAAGAATCAAATGTCGAGACAATATATATGAAGTCGATGATAAAAGGTTGTCAAACAATAATGCAGGTGAGAAAAACGTTAGATCATATTAAATGTTCTATTCTCACTGCTGGTGAATTAAAGTGTCGTCAATGTTGAACATCGAGAGAGTCAAAATATATCTTGCAAAACGTACAAGATGTAAATAGGTGAGCACGTCCACCGGGAATGGTCCGGGGACGTAGCAGTTCAATCCTCGTTGGATACAATTTTCTAGGTACAAATATCAACACAATAACAGCATGTGTGTATACCAATATTAAAACAGCTCACTGATTCCCGCACAGGAAAATCAGAAGAGCGCCAATCAACTACAGCGCGATTGGTTCAAAACACGCGCACATGTATGTTAATTAAGCACGTGATCAAAATACTTATGAATAAATACGCGTACATCTATGTTAATTGGTCATGTGATCAAAATACTAATGAATAAACATCGTTATATAATAAATCGAGTTAAAACCAGTTCTGAGGACATGGCGTAATACCAAATCCTCGAACTCTCAATGACTTCTAAAGCGGCCATTTTGGATTAAAAACACAATATGTATACCAGTGAATTATAAATGAATGCACTGTAACATTTGTCGCTACATTAACCCCCCTACTAGACCCGAGCTTGCGTAAGCTCCGAGGGGCGAAAATACACAATTAAAAATATAAAGGAAACATATGTACAAAATACATTAATATACATGAAAATAACCACTATTTATGCGACACGTTCAATGTAGTGAACCTGAACGTACCTTTGCGGCCAGTGGACGTGGCGGCCTGAACGTGTGACACGCGCAGCAGGTTGCGATTTCACCAGAGCAGGAGCAGGCGTAGGAGCAGGTGCAGGAGCAGGCGCAGAGGTTGCGCGAAGTGCTGTGCGCAGAGGGGAGGAGACGGTAGGCTCTCCCTCTAGAGGCACGTCAGCCGCGGTAGTCCTAGCCGAAACGCTTTCCAAAAATG